TTTCCCTGTGTTTAACACCTTCCCCTTCACTCTGCCTCTCTCACAGCGTGCAAGTGGGCTGTTATGGCATACGGGGATGGGGGCAGCTCGCGCTCGACTTCATCAACATGGCGAGCCTTGCACGTGAGAGGCACAGTGGAGGTGGAGTTCAAAGAAGAATGAGAAATTTAATGGTTTCAATCTGCCCTTGCTTTTTCTTTTTCTTTTTCTTTTTCTTTTTCTTTTTCTTTTTATTTTTGCAATGTGCCCGTTTTTCATTTTTATTCTTTGTTTCACAAAGTGCGCTCTTTTAGTTTGTAGTTATGTGAGAATATATATATATATATATATTTTAACCACCACTACTGCTGAGCCTTTTTTTGCCGAGGTGGAGTACAACTGCACGCCAAGCTTTTGCTGAAGCGCCAGCACGACCGTTTTTGTTTTGTTTTGGCTGGCGCCACCCGCCATTTTGGCCCGGTGGCCGGCCCCCTACGAATGTGGTATAGGTTATATTTACGACTTCGCCTTCCCGCCTGAAACGTAATCGTGATTTAAGAAGAATAAAAGAAGAGTAATGAGTGAAGTACATTGGCCAGGAAGAAGACGAAGAAGAACAAGAAGCAGAAGCAGAAGCGCAAAACAGAAAGGAAAAAGAATAGTGAAAAACAGCCATCAAACTGCTTTTCAGTGCATGGTTCTGAAGATTATAAGAAAAGTAAAATAAAATGGATTGAAAAACACAGCAAAGAGAGCAATATGGAGTGATTATGGGCCTTCCTCCGCTACTCTCCAAATTTGTGAAATGAAACTGATACATTGCCAATTTTTTTGTCTTTTGTGCATGTAGAGAGTAGTGGATCTAGGCCCTATGGTACTGTGAGGAGACAGGATGGAGAACAGCAAATCAAGGAAGGTGGTGGCAAAAGGGGGGAGAGCAGGAGAATGCAGAGAGGATTGAGCATCATGGATCGTTAGTGCATAGGGAGGCTGGCTACCTGCGACGTTTGGGCGGGCAAGCCCTGCCGGCATTGTGTAGGGACATACCCACAGTTGGAATTTAAAGGGCGAACCTAGAAGTAAATGCGGTAAAATGCATTCAGGAAACTACGAGTATGCCCTAAGTGATCACAATCATCACATCCTTTTGACAGCGATGTTCTTTTGCTGTTTGAGGCAGTTGAGGGGCATCCTCATGAGCACTTGTTCAAGGAGTCTGCCAAGTCTCTTTGCCAGCTCTCTTCAGGACAAGTATAAAAGTGCCCTGATCCGTGCTGAAATGCCACACGTACCCTGATGAGAGTGCACCCAGATGGCCAGAGGCTGAGGCACATGATCGGTGTGGAGAGGCATGCAGATGTCAATTGGCATTCTGACAAGGGCGTTTTTGGAATTCTGTTTTGCTGGCAGTGGCAATGGTGCCTTTCTCCCGTTCTTTTTCGTTTTTCTTTTGGCTGTCTGTGTGCATGTTCGTATGTGTCCATGTGTCTATAAAACCGTGAGTACTTGTGTGTGTGTTGCGCTCTGTGTGTGTGTGTGTGTATGTGTGTGTGTGTGTGTGTGTGTGTGTGAGAGAGAGAGAGAGAGAGAGAGAGAGAGAGAGAGAGAGAG